CTTTTCTTATCCTCTCTCCCTCTTTTCTCTCTTTTTTCCGTTATGTGCTGCTTTGTTTCTTTCTTCCGCTTACGCCAGTAAATATGATAGCACCTACTTTTCTAACACCTTCAAACACTGTTCAGCTTTGGCTTTGCTACCGATATTCCAATATGCTGTTGTCATAATGAACTGAGATTTCCTTAATCTATGTAGAATTCTATTTATTAATAATATACTAACTGGATGCAGTAGTGTAGTAAAACTGCTGAGAATTCCATTCTGTATCACAAGTACTGTTTTGGAATAAAACAAATTATTATTATTATTAAAATAAAATAGTGGGCGTGTTTTGTGTGGGCCAATTCTGATTGGTTTATTTGGAGACTGGAAATCGTCCACCATAACTGTATTCCAATAAGTGGTATAGCGCCGGTTCTTGTCTTACTTGTGGATCCTGTAAAACTGGGGAAAATGTTTTGCAACGAATCTAACTGAGAACTTTGTGCAGCATATGAATATGCTATCTGCGATAAGGCTATTGTCGTAGCTACATGGCATGCCGTTAATGTTGCAGGTTATACTAGGACTACTGAAACATCTGCGGTGAAATATCAAAAGTCAAGAAATCTAAATCAACTTCCATGTTCTCAGACCTTGTTTTCCTTCAGAATTTCTACCAAATTTATTATTATTATTATTATTATTATTATGGACACCGATCTGATTGGGATGATGTCGAAATTTTAAACAGAGGAAACACCAAAAGTGCCAACAAATTCCTACAAGCCCGGTACCTAGCGAATATGCGATTAACAGACATGCTAACATAGACCAAATCTACCGACTAATCAAAAGTAAATCATGTGACGAGAAAGTTCAAAATCCAAGACAATGAAAATGATCAATACAGATATAAGTCGACTGCCAGTCATGAAGATAGTTACCAAGAGACGCAATTCTATCATTCACGGAGAATTTCAATCAGTTGATTTTATGCTAAAACTTGCGCTGCAGATGTTGTCCAGAAGGACGAAGAAAGCTCCCCAATTAGACCAACAAGCTCAGAGAACACAAATAATCACAAACCATCCACCTGAGCAACAAATCTTTTCTATTATTTCATAATTTGGTTGTCTATTGGTTTGCACTCTTATTTTATATAACTGATTAATTGTCAAACATTTTATCATTGCTGACCATGCTCGTTGTAATGCAACCGTAGAGAAACCACTAAATCACATAATCTCGGAATATTTGTCTTCTGAGTGAAGTTTCAGTAGCGGTGATGTTGTTTCAAAATGGACAGGATTGCTAACCTCACTCCAATTTTTTCTTTTTTTCGTGTTTATTACTGGTTAGTAAACTAGGCGAGGCGTAGGAGTAAATCACCCGGGAATGGAAACCCCGACTTCCCGCGTGGCTGGCGAGTATTCAACCCCTGCAAAGCTGTGACTCATAAAGGTCATTCTAGCGGGAAGTTTTCTTCCTTTTTTTCTCTATCTGAAAGGTCTAAAATATTCAGACTTGATAATGATAATACACACTATTGTTTTAGGCTTAAATGCATTCTGATACTGCTAGTCGAAGTTGTAACAGAAGGCACTTAAAAAAAGAAACTTAATCGTTACTTACTTCAACACAGACTTAGTTTACTTTCTGCATGACAACCATGATAACTGATATGACTGGTAATATGACCTAGTAGACTGCAACTAATACGACTCTAATGTGCTAACAATAACTACTCCAGTCACTAATCACAACGTTGGCCGCCACCCCGATAACAACAACGACAACCACATTACCACCAGAGAGTGAAAACAAGATGAGTAGACAGAGCATTGACAAGGGAACTTCTACTGTCTCAAACAACGCTCAAAGCAGTTGACAGCCATGATGAATATCCAGGTTTTTGAATGGCCTTTAGAAGCATTAAATTCCCTATAGTTGGTTTGTAAGGATTAGTTTTCTTTTTACGAGTTGATATCAGTTAGAGAACCATTGAAAACTAGGGACATGCTACAGGACGGAGTTTCCTGGAGTTCTGGTGAGAAGTCGTGACCAGTGTGAGGATGTATGTCCCACCGATGACATTGATTGGTGGTAGCGCTAAATCACGAATTGGTAGAAGTTAGAATTCATGAGCCATTGAGTCGGATCCCTGTGGCTGAATGGTATACAAGCTTGTCTTGTAACAGGAAGGTCCTGGGTTCGAATCCCAGTGGGTGCGTACTCCCACTGATTCCCAAACTAGTATGAAACAGCTGTCCAGTATTCCCTGGTTTTCACTGGTTCTCTAACTGATATCAATCCGTGATCAACTCGTAAAAAGCATTAAATTCACTAATATGTTTGACGAGTGACCAACCAATGTGAGCCCAATCTTCACAGAGAGTGAGAAATACCGAAAGCACCATCAATGCGTAACAGCGGCAAAATATAGTTATTTTAAGGTTACAGGCTAATGTTAAGCAAAATTAGGAATATAATAGAGTAACATTTTAAGTAAAACACTATTTTAGTGGGAGCTTAGTGATACACTGTCAAAATAAAATATCTCTTCAAGAAGATAGCAACAGCAAACACATGAGCCCAGCTTACTACATTTTGTTGAAGCAACTGTTGTAAAGATTTTAATACGGAGTCTATATGCTCAAGACCAAAAGGCTGTCAACTTCGCATTACCTTTGTGGTTATATTTACATAACAAAATTGTCTAAATTTGCTGCATCATTCAATCTCTTTATCGTTTTTTTCTCCTGTTCTGTTTCAGATTTTATTTTTCATCTGAGCAGAACTAATTTTACCCTTCTTATTATTGCAAATGTTCGGCTTCTGCTGACATGTCGATACATAGTACGGACGCTCAACGAAGAGAGAAAGCTGTTTTCGCTCAATGGAGAACGCTTTGGCGTTTGAAACGATGAATGCTGGGTTCGAGTCCCACTGGTAACACCGTCACTCATTGGGGATTGCAGGTACATCCCATTGCCGACTCCCATATACGCTGAAATGCACATCCTGTGTTCCATTGCTAGTCACCATTCACTAAATATACGAACGAATGCTCAAATATACGAAGTAGATAAAGGTTTCTTTTATTTCTTTACCTTGCCAGTGGAACATAAGGCTTCAGGCTAGAAGCTTGAAGTTTCGGTAGCGGTGGCGTTTATTTTTTACGGAATGGAGCTGCTAGTCTCATACCCAAACTTCCCTCTTTACCAGTCTTATTGCTGGCTTAACGAGGTGAAGGAGTGTGTCGGCCGGGCATCGAACCCGAGCCCCCTGCGCGGTCGGCGAACATTCTGCCGCTGTGCCACCGACGCACAGATAAAAGCTTATGAAGCAAATAGTGCGATTAAATAATGCTAGATTTAAAAGACTGATTGATGAATAAGGAATATTTCTTCCAATAAATTCTTCATCAGGTTCTTCTACATTTAGATGACAGTAGCAATTAAAGAATTATTGTCATGAACAACATTGATGTTGTTTTAGATTACACCGAATAAATAATATTGGTAGGTTACATTTCAGTGCATTATAATATAACACTAGACTGAACATCAGATAAACTAAAGGAAGTAGCAGAAAATGCATGAACCCATTTCCTTTACACGCAAAGCTCCAGTTGATTTAAATGAATTTCAATGGCCTCTGTTTTTTGCAGTGTTCGATATCTATAAGGCTTTTGGTAATTTACTCGAGACCCGATAGAGATTCTTTAATGACAGCTTTGTGGCATTTTCGGAAGAGGTGCAAAACAAGCAGACCCAGCCACCATTGTTACCCTGGCCTGTTGTTGAACCTATAAATTCATAAATTTTCTGTTACTTCACTTAATTTATCTGATATTCATTCAGTTTAGTGTTGTTATATTAATGCATATTAGTCTATGTGTCTCTCTCACTTACTGATGCTTTTGAACTGTAATCACCTATGAAGACTATCGATTCAATGTAATTTAAAACAGCATTAATGTTCTATAGTTTGGTTTGTAAGGATTACTTATGTTTTTACGAGTTGATGACGGACTGATGCTCGCTAGTGACTTGCTACAGGTTGGAGCATTAATGTTGTTAATAAGAATATTTTCTTAATTAATACTGTCATATAAATATATAACCTTATGACGAAGGAGTCATCGAAAAGAATATTCTTGATTCATTGAATCAGTCTTTTGGGCATCTTCAATGAATTATAATGCCAGATTATAAGTAAATTAGCTGAATTTTCATGAAAATGCAATAATAAAACAAAGAAGGAGATTGACGAGAATTGGTAGTGGTTGTGGTGATACAATCAGTTGGTTGGGTTTTCGTTGGCCCAGCGACTAACTGTACAATTTATATGTATAATCTTATCACATATCCTATTGACAGATATCATCATGACTGGTTTATATTTAATAATTACTTATAAATGTATGCATCTTAAAAAGTGAAGCCTGATAAGATCTAATTGCAAATAAATATAAAAATAGATTTTCTATAGTTTGGTTTGTAAGGATTAGTTATGTTTTACGAGTTGATCACGGACTGATATCAGTTAGAGAACCATTGAAAACCAGGGAGTACTGGACAGCTGCTGCTTCATCCTAGTTTGGGAATCATCGGCAGTACGCACCCACTGGGATTCGAACCCAGGACCTTCCGGTTACAAGGCAAGCTCGTATACCATTCAGCCACTGGGACCCGATTCAATGGCTCATGAATTCTAACTTCTACCAATTCGTGATTTAGCGCGACCCCAACTATTGTCGTTGGTGGGACATCCATCCACACACGTGACTTCTAATTGCACCTCACTGGTCACGACTTCTCACTAGAACTGCAGGAAGCTCCAACCTGTAGCAAGTCACTAGCGAGCATCAGAATAATTTTCTATAGTTTGGTTTGTAAGGATTAGTTATGTTTTACGAGTTGATCACGGACTGATATATGCACATATGTGTGTGTATTTCTAGCGGAAAACCAAAGTCTACGAATTGGATAATTAGGACGGGATTCTGTGTCGAATAAACTTAATTCCATCCATTTATTTATTTATTTATTTATTACTTTATTCAGTTAATTAGATATTCATCAATTCAGAAGCAGAAAATGTATAATATGCCAAAAGAAATTTTTTTTTAAAAAAGAAGAGAAGCGGAATATATCAAAATAAAAATGGATTGAGAGATGAAGAAGTTTAAGTGAAGTTAACCGAGTAAACAAACAGGAGAGAAAAAAACAACAACAACATAATTCATCATGACTGACGCGGATGGATGGGACAAAACGGAAAAAAAAGACCGATAAAATTATTCATATTGTATATATGCAAACCTGAAAAATCAAAAGAGAATTGATGATGAATCAAAGTTGACCAGTCCAAGGTTAAAGTAATCAAACTCCTTATGGAAAAATGGATTTGTAAACTTTGTATTAAAATTATCATAGCACAACACAAAAATTATACAAGTAAATGTAGGCAATAAAAAAAGATTTGAATAGTGTATGTATGCACACATACGCATACACACATATACCTACATATATACGTATAGGTGTATGTATACACAAGATGAGTAGGCGTAAACAACAAAATCAACAATAATTATAATTGTAATGTAATGTAATGTAATTGATAATCACATTCACACAAGACCTGAATGATATAACAACAGAATAGATTTGAAAGTTATTGATTGATTGGATCTATAGATAGTAGAGATAGATAGATGGATAGACAAACAGACGGACATGTACAAAGGCGAAAATGAATGAGACGCGAATTCTAATTGGAAAGACAAAAAACAAATGAGATAGACGGACAAACACAAAGCACAAGGTCACACAGACCTGACACTGCGATCTCCGAAAAAGGAAGAAATGGAATAATGCAATATATATAAATAAACAACAAGGAGTAGACCGTGACAAACATGTGTTTACCATTTTATATTGGAGTTTAGCACGAGTAGTTTACACGAAACAAAAGAGAGAATAAATTCAAATAACGTATACAATGTGAACAACCAATAGAAGGGGAAAAAAGAAACACTTTTGATTTTCGTTGAAAAATCAACTGGATTTTGCATACAATGTGTATTGATTGATTGTTTGATTGACTGATTGATTGAATTCACCAACATTGGCATAATACAGTTGGCGTTATTATTGGTCAGGTAAAGAGCATACACAAATGGAAAGGAAGGAGTGATAAGCAATATCATATTCTTTAATTTACTCACATCATTTAATTAAATAGTGTTTATTGCTGTTGTTGTTGTTGCTGTTGTGATAATATTTAAAGTATAATGCGAAAACAAAAACAAGATAAGTAGATGGAACTATTTATAATATTCACTATTGTCTTCTAACACTATTACTCTCGATAATTATTAAGCAGCAACACTACCACACACCAGAAAGTATGTAAGACTTAACAAAATAAAGAGGAGAATTAATAGAGTTTTATTTATAATTTAATTTACATGTTGCTTATGGAATAAACAAAACACACAGACACACACGCACGCACTATCATCAGCTGTATCATCAGTTAGTTGTAGATTGTCACCTTGATAACGGTAATAACAATAATAACAGTAACAAATGACACCAATATATAACAGTTTCGATAAAGTAGTAGTAGTAGTAGTAGTAACAGCGTCAGCAGCAGTTATTGGCATTAACATTATTTCAGCGTCATTCCTTAAAAATAGTAATAATGACATAGGAAGAGATGAAAAACAAGAAGAAGAATAAAAGAGGCGACAATTTCAACAAAATGATAATGTTAATAACGACGACGACAACGACAGCAACAACAACAACAACACGATTATCAGTATTAAACGTGGGAAAGACATCGTGGCGCGGTAAATATATGTATATGTGTATATTCAAAAGGTAGTAAAATAAAAGGGAGACGGAGTGGAGTGGGGGGGGGGGTCAGGAAGGAAAGCAACCAGTGATAGATAATTTAAAACGCCATATACAATGTAAGTGAGTGTTATGTAAGTAATCACATATACATATATAATAATAATAATAATAATCCTGAATTCAAAACACAACGAGCAAACAGATACAGACGAAAATGAACCGGAAACACGAGTGTATGTGTCTATGTGTGCGTTCGGTAACAATAACACAGCATATTTTTATTTTTTTTATAGTCTATTACACTTATCCAAAATACTACATCGTGTATATTTTTAAATGTATCTGTGTCTCTGTGTGTGTGTGTGTGTGTGCGTACGTGAATTCTGTGCATTTGAGTAGGCAGGCGCACATATGTGTATAGAATGTTATGTAACTATGCCTACATTTCAATGGTGTGCCCGTTTTCACTTTCTTCATGTACACAAAAAATGATACTTATATTTAAATGCAAACATACTTCCAGGTACATACACACACGCACCACATGCACACCCTCATATAGACAGACACCTGCAATATAACAACAGGTAAATACAGATAAATAAACCTATCTATTCTCTACTATCTATCTTTATAGAATGAATGCTTAGCAAGAATAAGTGACAGACGTGAGTGTATACATGTGCGTGTGTGCTTACGGTTACTTTGTTCAGTAGACGAAGTAAGTAGATTTACAGGTAACTATTAGCATAATCATCAACATCATTGTAATTGATGTGTGTGTGTGTGCGTGTATGTGTGTTGGATAGATTATCACCATCAAGCTGGAAATACTAATATCGACACCAATCACACCATCATAATTAATCATATACAATTTGTGCAGGATTGTAATGGGTGACATAATTAGGGATCAAAAAGAGAAACACGATGACGGCGAAAATAGTAAGATGGAAGCTAGAAGTAACCAAAAAGAAAAACAACAACAACGAACCAGCGCACAGATAGACAAGTTAGACAGATGGATAGATAGACAGACAGATGGAGGGATGGATAAACAGACATACACAAGCAGAAGATTTGAAAAGGGGAAAGAAAAGAATAAGAATAAGTGAGCATTGTCATGATAATTACTTCAACATCTGTGAGGGATATTCATGGGGAAAAACGACCACTGACTGGTTGTTTTTACATGTTTATGTTGTTGTTGTTGAGGTAAATAATGTACTGTCACTGGTATCTTCATTATTAGACCTTAATTTCACTTCATACGATGAATAATCCATAGTAGAGACAGTTGCAGTAGGATTAGATATTTTCAAGTGAACATTAAGTAAGTACTGTAAACTTATAGCTACTAAAAGTGTAGCTAAACTGAACAGAATTAATAGAAGACAGGCTAGTTGAGTATCAGTGAAGCGGAACCATGAATGTGATCGTTTTGATGATGACGACGATTGTTTCGATTGATTCCTGGGAGTAGATGTCGTGGACACAGACGAAGTTAATGGTGATACTGATGACATCGATGCTGCTGCTGCTGATGTTACTGTTGAAGAAGAGGTTGCTGTGCTGATTAGAACAGGACGACGTTTATCCGATGCATTACTCCCCGTTGAATTCGATGATGTACCTGTAGCAGCAGTTACTTGATTCGAATGAGTTTGATGATGCTTAGACAGAGTTATTGAATTGGATGAATCATTTATTCTATGGGCAGTAGGAGTGTTCGATGACCGTCCGAATGAAAGTATACACCGAACAGTTTGGAATGGTAGAGACAAAATTCTTAGAAAAGTTGATCGTTTAGATGAAGAATTCTGTTTGAATGAATGACAATTTGTTGACATGGAATCGGAATGACCATCTTTATTAAGACGAGGTGTGGTAAATACAAGACCTGGCGAGAAGGGTCCAGGTAATTCAGTAATTTGATACTGAGAAGAATCAGTTGATGAATTCACCTATAGTTAATTGAGAGAAATAAAAAGTGATGAAGACATACAACCAACAAAAAACAACAGTATTATTTACTGATGACGTTCCGATCGAGCACAATTTATTGTTCATAATCGCCTTGATATGATTATCACCGTGTATTTCTATCAGGTAGAACTATTCTACGATGAAATTACACTCTGCCATAGTGCTTAAATTGTGCGTCGGTGGCACAGTGGTTAGGACTCTCGCCGATCATGCACATGGTCCGAGGTTCGATTCCCCGCCGACGCATACCTGATATCTATGGTCGGCCTGCTAAATTTGGGCTACCGATATCACACGCTGAAAATTTCATACTTGTACCAAAATACTGTGTGGAATCAAGCTATAATAAAATAAAATAAATAAATAAAAAATAATAAATAAATTCATAAACCTGGACACCATCAGCTCGACTGCAGGCGGATATCAAAGCAAGGGAGGACAAGAAAAGTAAGATAGGCGCTCACGAATCTGAAATCAGTGTGGAGATCTACAGTATTTGGTACAAGGAATACCAATGTCAAGTCAATGCTAGGCACAAGCGTCACTAAAAACATTCCCAAGACGCTGAAAGCTTTCACCAACACATTCTATCACCACCTTGATACAGCAGATCAGACTGCTGGGCAGAAAAACTAAGCAACAAGGAACCCTGACAATGAACCAACCAAGAACCTATCGTCTAGCAAATATGCAGCGGAAATGGAGACGCTGAGGAAAAACTAAAGTGACATCACAAGCCAAGCAGACCGACGAGTGGGACCCGAAATGGGATTGGATGCGAGGTTGACAAGTAGGAGACCATGTGAACAGGAAATGAAAGTTTGTGGGAAGTTGTGGAGCTGAGATATGCTACTGAAGTCTTATGTTCCACTCGGAACTCAAGCGAAGGATAATATAAAAATAAAGGAAAATAATGGATATCTAAATAGACAGTTTAATTTATAAGCTTAGCTGTTGCAAAGGATCGATAGTGACCTCAATGAATGTGTGTTCTCACTACTATTGCTTCTTCTACAACTACTCTAGTTGAACTGCATTTTGTTGAGACATTGGCGGACAGATGAATCTGGGAATCCCCATCGGAGACACGAAGCTCAACACAGTAAGCTTGTCTGTGTTGGTTGACTACTTCTTGTCGGTCAATTGCCTCCGTCTGGAACAAGAAGTCTGTTACTGACCTATCTTTTATACGTATTTCTCTGAACTGTCTCCCTATTTCTGCTCCTGAGGAATGACATTCAAGAAGAGAGGTGGTTCGGCGTAGGTGATTTATCCTGTCCAACCTGAGCTAGTGGGTGGTATCATCAGCACACATAGTGGTCGGTCTCGCAGATTGAGACGTACCGGGAACTGGTTTCAAGTAAGAGTTCGGGTGTGTAGAAGTCTCATACATGTCAGTGTGTGTTTTGACCATAGGTGTGATGAACATAGTAAGGAAGCAGAAAGTGACAATATACTTGATGACATTTCATTAGTAATACATGCATAGGAACTCTAAGTAGAAGCTTGACATGTCCTATTTGAAACTGTTATGCTTGGACACTGAAATCTAAAGATTTACTATCCTTCGTAAACGTGTTCTCAGTGTCGAATGTTTGCTAACACTAAAACAGTTGATATAACATTGAGAGACAAAGAATGGTTAATTACATCAGATTTTAATGGATCAGGATCTCAGATGTGAGGTCTGAGAATTCATGAAATTCACTGATACTACTAGATATGCTACACAGTTAAAATCGATGACCAACATGGTGCAGATTACTGGTTACTTCTACTAACAAATTATCACTATAACCACTTCTCAGAATTAAATGTATTCAAGCTGACACACATAAAATCTTGCTTGATTTTATAAGTGGAGCTGAAATTGCAAGCAGATAAGTTGTACATTAAACACTATAGGACTGATATGAATAGTTGGTGTTAGTTAGCAAGACTGAGGTGAGGCAATCACTTAAATTGTTTAAGGTTGATTTTGATGAAAAATTGAATTGGACTGATTCAATTTAGTAAAGAATTAATTGCATTATATGTCACAAGTCCACTCAAGTAGTTGGAGATGGAATAGGACTTCAACTTATGGTCACTTAGTTGAAGGTCAATTGCCTAGGCCAGTTAGTCATAGTTGTTCGAGTGTCAATGAAACAACTAGCCAAATGTTTAAGCCAATGGCATTAGCAAACAAACAGTATACCGTTGAAAAGTTCATTGAAAACCTTATATATATATATATATATATATATATAGCCTGAAACAAACAAAATGTTTACCTTAAGTTGTTCTTGTTCAGATGACGAATAAGATGAATTACTAATAACTGGTAATTTATTCGGTTGACATAAACGAACAGCACATACACGACAGACGTATTCAGAAGCCGGATTCAAACCAGTTATACGACAAGCAGGTAAATTTCCTCTATACACCTGACAAATAAAAAAATATAAGAATAGGGAAAAATAAGTAAAACTAATAGAGAAAACTAAAATGTTTATGTCAATAGACAGTAACATGTGTTAATAATAAACTGTTCAACTTGACTTCATATTCTTAAAGTCTAAATTTCTAATGATGTAGCTAGTGAAGTTGTTTACACTGTCAAGATTAGTGAGAAATTTCAGGAAGTGACAAAACGACTGAGATAAAACATAATTCCAGATGATTCAGTTCAGTGTTTAACTGAATTATCTTTAACTTCTTATTAAATTACGACAAAAAACTACTCATACTTTAAAAGACCGATTAATGAATAAAGAATATTCTTTTCGATAACTCCTTAGTCTGATTGGTTGGAGGATTTCATTATGAGCTGAAATTGGTTAGAGAACCACTGGAAAACCTGGGAGTTCTGGACAGCTGTTTCGTCCTGGTTTGGGATCCTTATCAGTACGCACTCATCGGGGTCGAACCCAGGACCTTCTGGATACAAGGCGAGCTCATAGACCATTGAGCCACTGGGACCCGATCCAATGGTTCTTGAATTCTAGCTTCTGCCAATTCATGACATAGCGCGACCATTTCACAATGTCTTCTTCGATGAGTTACTGCCTCATCTTTGACCTGTGTACCAAACTACGACGAAACAGCTGTCCAGTACTCCCAGGTTTTCCAGTGGTTCTCTAACTGATATCAGCTCATGATGAAACCCTCCAACCAATCAAACAAAAAAAATCCCTACAAAAACCAATACTTGAAAACTCCTTCGTCATCAGGTTCTAAATTTATGTCACAGTAATAATTAAGGAAATATTGTTATTGACAACACTGATGCTGTTTTAAATTACAGTGAATCAATAGTCTTCATAGGTGATTACAGTTCAAAAGCATCCGTGAGTGATTTGTATTCATAGAAAATCGTCAGATGAATTAAGAAAAATGATATCATAATTTATGAATTTATAGGTTCGACAGAAGGTCAGAGTAGTAATATTGCCTGGATCTACTTCTTTTGCACGTAGAGCTCCAGTTGATTTAAGTGAATTGCGTTGGCCTCTGGTGTTTGTAGTGTTCGGTATCTGGAGGCATTTCGTAAATTATTCGATGCCCAATAGATGATAGAAAACGATTCTTCAACTCTTGGCGGCTTGTTTAGACTAGGTGAACTAATCTAATAGAACTGTAGATGGTCATAACAGTAACTTTATTTAACTATACTGGTAGGTGTTCCCGAGCACGAAAAATTAGGTTCCTAGGGCGACAGCCAATATAACTGGCTCCACAGGAGCAGTTGAATTGATAGATACAATTAGCGGTGGCTACCCTAGACGCTTTACCTTTCACTATCGGAATCACGACTGGTTCTGTGGAAAATATAAGCTGCAGCTTACAGGTATTAAATGTTTTCTGAATTGATTTTCTCAACTTGTTGATTACTGTTTCACTTGGTATATCACCTTTGAATTGCAGTCGTATATAGGGAGGCCTCTTGTAGACAGATACAGAAGAATTCTTTTCTTCTTTCTGGGCCATGTGTTTATTGATGAACTTTTCAGGGTAGCTGTCTTCAATTAACGTGTCATATATAACTTTAAGTTCCTCTTCAATCGCACCTTCATACTTTACTCTTTATGTTTATACTACTTTGTTGTGGTGTTGTAGAAGTGATTTCGCTAAACTTCCATGTCTACCAGTTTTCAAAAAGTGCACCATTATGGTGAGTTTCCTAGATTGCTGACCACACTGCAAACTGGCTCATAAAATTCTGTCATTATGAACAGTAAGAATCAGATACATAACACTGGTACCCCTTCTCAGTGCTCAATCAGTGTAACCATTATAGGCCAAACATGGGCTAGATTAGTTCTGTGACGGAAGAACTGGCTGACATGGGTTAAAATCCCAGAAGGGATACCAATCCCTTTAAGGTTGTAGATACGCCTTGCTGAACAGTGCGAAAACCAAGAAATCTGGGTCCAGAGCTTCGTGACTATTATCGCCAACCATCTAACATTACGCTTATTGTGGCGTGGGCTGTATATAGATGCAGATTGATAGGGAGCGTTCAAACCTGAAATCAACATTTTAAGTTAATAGCTGCAGATGTAAAAGTGTTTATTCCTCAAATCTACCTTTATTTTATGTTGTGGACATGAAATAACCTCACTGGACAACTTGTTTAACCTTGGGCCAATAGCCAACCAATTGGGACACTTTATCATGGACACTATCGACCTACCGGACTATCAATGTGTTTTTCTTTAATAAAAACGGTTCGTTACTGATTCTCCTATCTTCTACCGCTACACCATATATACTTTGATAAAGCTATTGACAGCATTAAATAGCGAAACGTCAGTAAGAACAATATCGTTTTGTTTTTCATTCATTGGGAAATACAAAAACCTTTATTATAATGAATATCATATACCCAATGCCCAAATTTTTTCAAACTGTTAAAAGTGAACTTGGTTTGGACATATATAACCATATATACATGTAGTTTAATGAGAATTATTAATCTTCTTAGATTATAAACAGCTAAGAAGAATGAAACCAACTGTAATGAATGCTCTACTCTCTATCAAGTTTGTTCTTAATTTGTGTTTAAATAAAGGATTATTAAAATGTTTCATCCGCACAGTTGCCATGGTTGCTTAACTGGCAGATTTTATGTGACCAGTTAAAAAGTTACCAAGTAAGCAATGCTCAGTAATAACAGTATACATTGATGTATATATACTATTTACTTGATTTATATACGTAATGTGGTTTCCACTATAAATTCTATTGTCATGATATAACTCGTTAGTGATCTTGGATAAAATTCTTTTCCAAATCTCCTATTAGCTTATAGGTCATGTGAATTGTAGCTATCGCAGAAATGATAAGCATTCCAATTTATTCACTGAACAACCTATTTATATTTCTATCAATTAGTTATTTAGCTTGAACTTAGCTATTGTCGGAACAGATTTCTCGTATACTAAGCCTAAGAGCCACATTTATTATGTGTGATGGCTTGAGAAATCAAGCAGTTGACTGGGCTGGCTGACGTAAATGGAACGAAATTTGAACCCGGGATTCACTGGCTGAAAGTTGAGTACTTGAGCAAAGAAGACATATATTCGTGTATGAAGGTCACGTCATATAGTAAATAGGCACAAGTTTGAAAAATAAATGGAGACAATAGAAGTAACTGAAATGAATAATAAGGTATTCAATTCCACTGGAGGAACCTCGAGCAAGGAAGAAACATCCGAGTTCTGTTTCTTGACTTTCAATGCTTTTTTTTAACTAATTCAAATTTGCGATAATTAATTACTTGAAAAGTAATGCTGTTCGTTCACATACATTATCAACAGTATACAGACATATTACATCAAAAAGTGAATGGAATAAAATCAAGAAGTAATTCAGAAATAAAATAAAAGATAAAACGTGCATCATATTATGAACAATAACAATATCACATGATTACCTGACTCAAGTTTGTTGATTGTTGAGTATTAGGTGATACAGGGAGTAAATGTAATAGATAGACAATAGGATCCATGCCTAATTGATTTACTGGAGTCCATTCTAACTGGCAACGATCTGAACTCAACTCAATGATTTTTAAGCCTACAAAGATTAGAAAAACACACACACAGTAACCATTTAGTTGACAATAGGAAAACTAAGTAGTATATATTAAAGCAATTAGTTCCCTTTATGAATTTCGACAACACAATAAGAAGACGTAGTTTATCTGAAACGTGTAATGTATTGGCGCAACACATTTCGGACATTCTGATCACACACGTACTTGTCATACACAGTTTATATATAATGCAAGAAGGCATGAATAATTACAATACAAGTCAGATTGTATACAGGTCAAGGTCACAAATAATGGGTAGGGAGACGCAAAAGCTGTGGGTAAGAAAGATAAAAGGAGAAAGAACAAGGCAAAGAAGGGGGTGAGAATATTAAGAACTAAATTGGTCCTTGGTTCTAAATTGGATTACCAAGGCAGGTTTAAGGTGATAACAAATAACTTTTGGACACATAAGACAGGTTTAAGTCTTTTTATGGCTAAGGCCTCAATGAATTTAAGTATGTGGCCCAACCTTGTTTTATATATCGGCTTAAAGGCATTGTTGAAATCAATCTTATGACCCGTCTCTATAATATGCTTCGCTATAGATGATGTTGGACATCTATTTCCGGGTTCAATTGTGTCTGGCGATTTCATTTGTTGTTGTAGCCACTTTGGAATGTGTTCTGTAGCCCTAACCTGCAGAGACCGATGGGTCCTCCGTATGTACGTGTCTCTACACATACATGTAAATTGATAAACACAGTGGGATGTGACGCTATCGTTCGGATAATGTGAGGGTTTACAGGACAGCATAGTTCTCGTTTTCTCTATGAAGATAAGTTTAGCTGCATAATAGGTTCTATTAATTGCGGCCTTGAGTCTTTGTCTAGTGACTAGACTTTGTTGATCACCTCTGAACGGCAAGGATATGTAAACATCCTTTTTTGGGAGCTGATTGGATTGGTAAAGCTCTATGGTTGACACTTCCGTAACGTCTAATAAATCTCAGTGGGTAATTGTCTAAATATACATTTGTTTTCTAAGTTAAGGACTACACTCTCTATCTTAACATGAAGTCAATATCCATGTATGACAGCTAAGTCTGGGTTCTAGTAAGTAAAATCTCAGGGAGGTGACAAAAATCTCTAAGTATGAGGTATCAACTATGAACACTTCTAAACAAAATTTCAAACTTACCTCGTACTGCTGGAGGTGATGATTTTTGAGTGCGTATCGTTTGAATTGTACTATAAGGTCCAGAACCAGTTGTGTTGGTAGCACGAACACGAAAGTGATAAACTGTGGATTCACATAAACGATTCACTTTATGAACATTTGCTTGTCCTTCATAGATTGTTGTCCATCTGAAAGATAACGGAAAAAGTATATGTGGTGTGTGCGGTTAACCTTTATTTTGTTATACTTGCAGAGAGTGTCTTCTCAGTCATCAGTTTTTAAATGGAAAGGCTCTTCGCAAAACTTTTAGACATCTATTATTGTTCACTAGATATTTTTTATTAAACATGCTGCATATATATCAGAACTTGTCTGATGAATACTCACAGATGTGTCAGTAGTTAACGTGATCATCGCTACTTAAAACATAATTGTACTAAGAATGCATATATATAAACACTTCCCTGTCTACTCAATTTCAACTAATAAACAATGTCACTTTGGTTACAGGATTTCATCATGAGCTGACATTGGTTAGAGAACCATTGGAAAACCAACTGGGAGTACTGGACAGCTGTTTCATCCTAGTTTGGGAATCATCGGCAGTACGCACCCACCGCCAAGGTTCGAAACCAGGACCTTCTGGTTACAAGGCGAGCTCCTGGTCGAACCGGTGGTGCGTACTGCTGAAGAGACAAAGTAGGACGAAAACAGCTGTCCAGTACTCCCAGGTTTTCCAATGGTTCTCTAACCAATGTCAGCTCATGATGAAATCCTGTAACCAATCAACCAAATCCCTACAAACCAATACTTGAATGTCACTTTGACTGGACACTAACCAGTGTCATGCGTCTAGTCCTTTTTACAGTGCAGACTGAATTCTATCGGTCAACTTCGCAATGTGATCACTGTGCCAAGTGGCTGACTATCACAGTACAATCTGAAGTGTTGTTCTTGGATGATTGGAGACAATCGGCAGAAAGCCTTGCTTGACTAAGGATTCGTGCTTGTTGGCACTAGCCAGTCAACAAGGCGTATCTGCAATCTTGAAGAAAATCGTGTCCTTTCAGAGATTCGAACCCGTGTCAATCGTGAGCCCGAACAGCTCGGCTTACTGCTGATTGCCTCCAACCACCTAATAATAAACAATGTTAATTGGCAGCACTTCATGAATTAAAACTCTTCATCCAAGATAATCTGGTTCTGTATTAACTCACTTCGAATGCTGTCGACAAGTAAATAATAGGTCTGATAGAAGCATACTCCACTTGAAAACAAACATGAAATTCTACAAGTAACCAAAAGATAGGTTATAATGACATGCATCACTTGTTACTAAACACTGGTTGAATGACTACTATATATATATATATATATATATATATATATATATATATATATATATATATATAAATTCAATTTGTATTTGCGTGTATATTCAATCTGAATACTGGATGCTTAACCAACGATGGTAAACAACTACCGATCAAAACCTTGGCTTAGTAAGCAACCCACTCCAAACGCATAGATGTATCAATGAAAAAATGAATGAAACACTTATGTTATTTGTCAATAATTTTTCCCATAATGATAGAAAATAAACACACTGGAGAATTTTCTACAGTTTGGTTTGCAAGGATTAGTTTTGTTTTTACGAGTTGATCACGGATTGATATCAGCTAGAGAACCATTGAAAACCAGCACTGGAGTACTGGACAGCTGCTGTTTCATCCTAGTTTGGGAATTATCGGCAGTACGCACCCACTGGGGTGGATCAGTGAGGTCCATCCAGATGTCACGTGTGAGGATGGATGTCCCACCGACGACATTGGTTGGGGTCGCACTAAATCACGAATTGGTAGAAATTAGAATTCATGAGCCATTGAATCGGGTCCCAGTGGCTGAATAGTATACGAGCTTGCCTTGCAAACGGAAGGTCCTGGATTCGAATCCCAGTGGGTGCGTACTGCCGATGATCCCCAAACTAGGAGGAAACAGCAACTGTCCAGTACTGCCTGATTTTCAATGGTTCTCTAACTGATATCAATCCGTGATCAACTCATAAAAACCCTGGAAATTATTTCTTAGCAGTGTCTTTTGTCCCCAGATGTGTGATTAACAAGCAAATAACGATCCACAAAATTCTAGCGTATAAAAAGGTAACCCCAAGTGATGAAAAGGCTTTATAAACTAAACGCATGTAAAACACAGGTAGAGCAATATCGTTAGTTTTGAGTGATTTTCAGTCAAAGAGTTTATGATAAATTAATTAATTTCAATACAGTTCAAAAAGTATACTAACATCATTTGGAGAATTATTAAAGACTATACAGTACCCGACAGACAGACAAAACAAACAACGTAAAGCCCTACATAGAAGATCATCACTTTAAGTTGTCATGGTATAAAACAGCCTAAGAGTAAACAGGAATATACTGATAGCAACAACAGAGAACGTAGATTTAGTCAGCAACCGATATCGATTAGAGAATCCTTGAAAATCTCAAGGAGCCCCACAAACCCGAAGTTTCTTCGTAGTTCCTGGCACTTCAGAAGTGCACAGCCCATGACTCTACCAGAGATCGAACCCAGGACCGTTGGGTTACTAGACCAAGCCCTTGGCCATTCAACTACTAGGCTAGAATTCAGTGGCTAGTGAATGATTACTTCTGTCTATTCTCCACCAATGCCGTCTATGAGCATCCGTTTCATTCTGATATGGTGGACCCCGCCCCGTCGAAGACTTCTAATCAGAACATCAGGACTTCCATCCTACAGCTAGAAAATGTTTTAGAGATTTACAGTCAGATATTGAGTTTTTTTAGGGAATCTGATTGATTAGCTTCATCAATGTACATTTCTTCAAGAGGATGCTAATGCTGGAAGAGAACAGCTGTCCAATGCTCCTTAGTTTTCAATGACCCGCTAACTGGTATCGCTTGATGAGGAAACCAGCATTAAAATTAATCAAAATCCCTATAAAACGCGATATCAGAATATATTAGAATCCTCGAATAAGAAAAGTGAAGAAATATATAATAGACGGAGAGTATAATTCAAATGATAATAAACGTAGTGGAAAATGATGCAAGGCGGAATAAAGTAACACAACAATATAGTTAGCCAAATAAACGCATAATACACATAGGGACTGTAAACAAATAAAAAGATAATAATGGAATTTAGTATATAACATTCAGCTGTATATATGCATATGTTTCTCCTATTTAATCTATTTAATTTAAGAAAACAATAATAATAATAAAAATAATAGTAACAACGGGAGATCACTTAACCTTTACAATTAACAAGTAGGTAAAATAAAAACAAACTATACAACGCAGCCAGTCAGTCATTTGTTCAACCAGTTGGTCTTACTTATTAATAATAAGGGGAAGAATTCCACCAGTAAACAAACTATTCTAAGGTAAATAAATATTATTAAAGAAATTAGGATAATTATCCAAAAGCTAAGCTGTGAACACCTTTTTATTGGATTGTAAACAATATTTATGTATAATAGTGTAGTGTATATTCTTCTTAAATGAATTTTATATTATATCAGAAGAGAAGTGTAAGCGTGTTCTGCGCGTAGAACCTATGACTTTTTAATACATTTACTATTGAGCATGCAAACATGCGTGAAGTCGCCTACTACTACTGATTGGTACGCTCACCCTTCTCTCTTCATGGTTGTTGAATATCTCGTTTGTAACATAGACGGAATGTTTACAGGATTTTCATCATGAGCTGACATTAGTTAGAGAACCATTGGAAAATCCTGTAACCAATCAAATCCCTACAAACCAACACTTGAATATCAATGAGATGCTCACTAGCGACTTGCCCTATTCAGATAGGTAGTTACCTGGGGTTCTAGTGAGAAGTCGTGACCAGTAGGCTGCAGCAGGTCGGGTATGAGGACAAATACTCGCCGAAGACATTGGCTAGGGTTTGCGCTATGTCGTGAATTGGCAGAAGTTAGAATTCATGGGCCACTGGATCGGGTCCCAGTGGCTTAATGGTCTACGAGCTCGCCTTGTAACCAGAAGGTCCTGGGTTCGAACCCCGGTGGGCGCGTACCGCTGAAGAGTCCCAAACGAGGACGAAACAGCTGTCCAGTACTCCTAGGTTTTCCAATGGTTCTCTAACCAATGTCAGCTCATGATGAAAATTCTGTAACCAATCAAATCCCTACAAACCAACACTTGAATAGACGGAATGTGTTGGAAACTCCTAGAGTAGTTTTCATATACGTTTCAAGATTAAATCACTGATCACTTCATTATATTTTATAAAACTTCTCAAGTTTGATTGTATTTCAGCATAGAACTTAGCGCAGAAATGCAACATTTCAAGTTGCCACACCCCATGCAGTACACAAAGGCAGACAAAAGAGAGGAGAAAAGAGGGACAGTTATAACTGATTGTTGTCAACACCTCAAATAAGGAATCTTTGTAAGCCTTAATACAAGCTTTCCCATTAGAGGATTTCGTTTAACATAATTTACTTTTTTATTTTTTAACATAGACAAACATTGCTAAAATATCATTTCAGGTTTTAGAAAAATATGGAGAGTATTAGCATTCGCGAACTTGTCTACTTGTTTCAGATTTGTTATTTTCAAACTTTTGTTAGCCTTTAAATGACTATGAGTGTGTAGGATATCAAAAGTTAATCTAAGCAAGAATAATTATTCATATACAAATGATCTAGCAACGTAAAAGTTGATGATAGTTGGTTGTAGGCAATCACCAGGATGCCATGGAACTAGGCTTCGTGCATATTCGCACGAAAACAGTTCACTACAACTAATCTACTCTTCAAAAACTGAGACACGGGGAAAATTTAAATTATCAAGAGTTAGTTGGTAGGAATCAAGTTATCAGTTAGAGAACCATTGAAAACCACCAGGGAGTACTAGACAACTGTTTCATCCTAGTTTGGAACTCACCGGCAGTACGCATCCATTGAGGTTCCAACCCAGGACCTTCTGGTTACAAGTGAAAGTTGTAGACCATTCAGACACTGGGACCCGACTCAATGGCCAGCCCATGAATTCTGACTTCTACCAATTCGTGATTTTAGCGCGAGTGACACCAGCCAATGTCATCGGCGAGTATTTGTCCTCACTCTCAACTGAGTGGACTCCACTGGTCACTACTTCCGACTAGAAACTCTAGGCAACTTCACTAGCTAAAATCGTATTAATTTTCAAGAGTTTGTTTGTAGGGACTTGATATGTTTCAGGTTTGACCATGGAATTGGTTGAAGTTAGATTTCATGGGCTGGCCATTGAGTCGGGTCCCAGTGGCTAAATGGTAAACGAGCTTGACTTGTAGCTGTAAGGTCCTGGGTTAGAAACCAGGTGAGTTCGTTCTGCCAATGAGTCCCAAACTAGCAAGAAACAGCTCTCCAGTTTTCAATGGTTCTCTGTTTGATATTTATCAATCCGTGTTCAAACTTAAAATTTAGATGGTAAATTTTAGAAATGATAGTAGTCAAGTTCTTAGATAGTTGAAGGTAATCAGCGCTATGTTTTTGTCGTTCTTGTCACTCATAAGCAAAGTGTATATGAAATCGTCTAGGGACTCATTATATCTCTTCTAGGATTCGAACTCACATCCCCCGGTACTGTAGTCACAGACGCTACCACTGAGCTATTCAGACCCATGACTGATCTCCTGTAGAACTGTAATGAACAGATTTATTGATTCATTGATAGAATTCAGTCAGCACCAACACCAAAGATTAGACACACACAGCATCGGTGACCCTCTAGTGTCCAAGTAGTTTAAAGTAAAACTTACTTTGAACAGAGAGTGTTTTATATTTCTGCTGGGAACTTAACTGCTTCAAAAGACGTATTTTTGTCTTTTGAAAAGCAAATAACAAGTGGGAAATAAGAATAAGGAAACATAATGAGAACATATATATTCTTGTGTGTGTGTGTTTGACTTTTGACTTACTCTAAATCAGGTTCTCGACTCATTTGCAGTGTGAATGTGACTTGACTTTCCAGTGATTTGAAAGTAGCCTTTTGTTTCTTTAACAATTTATTCTGTTGTTGTTGTTTTGCATTATTATTATTATTGTTATGACGAAGATGGTTCGAATTCGAATTATTCATATGCACTTCTTCATGACTGGTTACTTCATCTTCTTCACCACCGTCACCACTACCGTCATTATCATTTTGTGCATTTTTATCATTTTCATGATTTTCAGCATTGCTGCCAGCATTCTCAATATTACTACTGTCATCACCAGCGTTATCATAATCGTCATCACCATCAGAATTCATATGATTAGCTAATAAATTCCATTCTAGCCTAACAGAATTTGAGGTTAAATTTTTATATTGACTAAATGCAGGTGGTTGAGGTAATGGGGCAAGTGTAGTGAATTCAGTCTGTACTGAATATTCACTTGGACCAAATTTATTGACTGCTTGAATACGTAACCTAAATAATAAAGGGACAAAAAAACAAGAAGAAAGTTAAGACAGAACACTTATTGAACATGAGATGAGAATCACTGAGGTATTTAAAAAATATATATTATTATTATTATTAGGTGTGTTAATCGAACAGCATCAATATAATCTAAAATACAATTATCCCGCTACACGACTTGACACAATATTATTTTGTAGTTGTAATGAGTTGTACTTGATAAGCCAAATGTAAATAATATCAAACTTAAATGCTTTAAGAAAATATTAATTTTTTACAGTAAAACAGATTGATCTTCGTAATAATTAAAATAGGATAATAAAATATTGATAATAAAATATTGAGATCAAGCATTGAACTTATTTTGTGTTTCTAGTTGACTGATCTTACTGGACTGAAATGTTTGTCCACTATTGACATGTGGCTTAGTCGTCTGGTGAATAATATTTTGATGTTAGGAAAGAAGGGTACGGGGGGTGTAAGTTTCAATGGGAACACCGTCAGTCACAGCGCATAAATCCTAGCTAAACAGGATGAAACTCATCTCTTGGATTTCACTGTTAGTCATCATCAGCAGAGCTACTTTTTAACTATCACCTTTATCCATCTAATAGTGTAGTGTTTAATAGAATGGACTATAAGGGCTTTACAGTTAAACCATCTGCTATGACCGGAACTATGACCTAGTAGACTATGAGCGAATACTAACTTAATGCGCTGGCTAATCTGTCCTAATCGCAAGTCAACAACAACACCGCCGGCACGCAAAGACAAAAGAAAAGACTGGACGTCGATAAGACAGCTTTTACTGTCTCAAAAACAACAGTCAAAATGCTAGATAGAAACTATGTATATATATACAGTTAGAATGATCTTGAAAATGCAGTAATTCAGTGATGCATTAAAAGTATTAACAACCAATAGGAATCCAGCAATCCGAACAGAGGGATAAGCAAAGGGTTCACGCCTGTGCGCGATAAAGCTTTGAAATAGTTATTTTAAGGTGTTAGGCAAAATTAGGTGTATATATAACATCATCCTGCTTATAGAACACGGAAGGACACCGAATTTCCACATTTTATTAGAGAATACAGACACAAAAAAGGTGTCGACTAGCGATGGATATCAATGCACGTTGCACATGGTTTCCTAGGAAAGATAAAAATAACCTAGATGATTTCCTGGGATTATAGTTGTGCATGTTTGCTCACTATCCGCCATCACATAATTGTTTTGGTTGGAATAAAAGTAAATTTCAGTTCATGAATTTCCTAGATGTCAGGTGTGAGTTCTTTGAGGAAGTTGTAATTGCTTGCGTAGAGCTCTCGAGGATTGAGGACTGGACGTGAAGGAATTCTACACAATATCATTAAAGATTGACCGTCAATGTCGGAACTGAGGAAGAAGTATCATATATGGTGTCATCAGGACTGAAGCTTTGGACATGTTAATAGCACATCGCTCTTAGAGCCTTAAATTTTGTTGAAAAAGATTTCATTGCCAATCTAGGCATCAAATATCAATGGCTCTTAAAAAATTAAAAAATTTTCACCAGGCTTAACTCTAATATACCTACATACTTTCACAAATAAATATTGTACATCAACCAATCATGGTGATTTGTCAATACAGTGATAAGCTTGTGCGTATAAATTGTGCAAAGAAACTACAATAAACAGAATTTAACGAGGCATAGAACAATTACGTGAAGAATAATAAGAATAATAATTCCGGATCAGGGTGACCACAAAGAGAGAATGCATGTGTGCTAATAATACTAATTTCGAGCCATGTCACCAATAGTCTCCAGGTATTGATTCTTAGGGTCTCGAAGACCACAGTTAGTCAGTTTACACCTATTTCCTTACGTGGCTGGTTGAACTCAACAGTCAAAGACTTCATGGATTCATGCTGGCATGTTTTGATTTGACTAGTCCTAACTCTTCTCCAATCCAATCCTAAGTAAGCCAACATAGCTCGATGAAGAAAATAGTGGCCCGGTATGTGTAGTTTAATGACCAAATTATATTCTTACACAATAACTCAACTTAATAAACTTCACATAAGCACAGTAAAGTTACGGCATACAAACCACAAAAAGAAGAGAGAAGAAGCAAAAATTTATGGCTGATTAAAAAGTAAGATAAGAGACGCATAAATTCATGATCACAGGAAAAATAAATTCAAACTGTTTCCCATAAAAGTCCTTCACTTCTGTATTTCTAGGTATCTTTTTCATCAAAAGTAAGAAAGAAGTCTTCACTTTATTACAAGATTTAGAAGGAATTCGGAGATATCATAATGAATGAGCTTCACAGTTAAGGGGAATTTAATAAAATCAAGTATATTGATGGCATCGAAAATTAAAGACTTGGTGAAAAGGTGTACAATGTCTACGAGCTTCAGAGTGATGCAAAAGGCCTTTCATATGCCCGGTTGGTTTCAATACGTTTTATGATATTATCTCTTATTTTTCTCCACAAGTGCATACATAATTCACCAGTTCATACATCATAATAATTTATGGAAATGAATTTTAATCTGAAAACATATATATATATATATATATTTGATAGATTGTTTGTTGTTCTCAGAAGCTTTGGTATTTGATCATGGATGTTTCATCACCAGGCCGCATGACACGTTTCCAGCACTAACGTCAGTAACACGTGAGACATATTTCCAAATTGCGTGAATATCTACGTTTCCTTTTTCTTACTATTGTCCAGTTGTAAGTGAAGGAAAAGATTTTCCTAATTCGTAAGCCTTTGATCTTGAGTTTTATTACGTCACATGGGTGGTAATTCTACTTGCCCCATTATTGATCTGTTTGGTTGGAAGTTGATGATCTTTTCTTCTTTATCATATAACCTTATCAGCAAATGATTTCCAGTAGAATATAGGACAACCCAGTTACCACAAAAGTCTCAGACGTCACCGACCATTCATTTCGTCCACTTAAAACTGGAGTGACTTATAAACCAGTCAGACGATTACAAAGCCTGCTAAGAAATTAAAAGATTCACTGTCTAAGGAGGAAAAGGAAAAAATAATTTTAAAAAACAACAGTAAAATTGTCACGACACTACGTTGGTCACTTCGGTTGTTGAATTGTCCAAAGAATCCACGAATATAGACTAGTAAGAAGAAGACACAATGCCACATCTTTGTTCTGAATGTATGTAGAGAATTACAAGTACGTTATCGACTTGGAAAACATGCATACAACGTTCAAACTCAAAGACGGCAAGTGGATTTCTACATGATTTGTATTCAAACGTAACTTCAGTCAACAGACAGGTCAAAATAAACTAAATGTACAGACTAATCTGAGAGAAAAAACAATCACCTCCCAACCGGCTGAGAGAAAATCCAAACATACGAATAAATCATATGACGCAATGAAGTATGAATTGAGAAGGTTACGGAATAGAATAAACTTTTCCCTCATATTCAACTGGACAATAAGGAGGAAAAAGAAAGAAAGCTAAATACTCGTGCAGCTTGGAAATACGTCCAACTTTTTAATGACATACGTTAGTGCTGAAGACATGTCATCGGGTCTGGTGATAAAACGTCCACAATCATGTACATCAAAAAAAGTAATAGTTTAAATCTTATTAACAAAAAGCAACTTACATATAATTTGTAGAAGGTTTCAATTTACTCAAACAATGCTGAATCACATTCTTTTGAAATTGTATGTTATTATTAGAGTTCTCTGTCGTTGAAACATTTGTGTGATGCTGTTGTTTACTGGATGAATTCATTTGCTTTCCATCATAATCTAGTAAGTAGGGTGCAGGTATTTGAATATAATTCACATCCGTATGAGTACGACCACCGGAACCAGCTTTGTTATTATTACTACTACTAATACTACCACCAGTAGTAGTAATGTTATGACCGAATCGGGTAAGTTCAATAGTGAAACCTAGCAAATGTAGATAAATTGTCAATTTGGAATTTTTCAAAAATCATGAAATAAAGCAAGAACAACAATTGTACCAGGATAATATGAGCTCATCTTTTATTATTTCGAGGAACCTGAGACTGAAAGGTCCACAAGCATTAAACAGTGCGATTGCGCGTCATCTATTTGACACTGGTCATATTGTAGACAACTTGAAGTCGTTCGAAATAATCAACAAGCAAAAGAAACCTAGCTTGCTACGCTTTGCTGAGGCAATTGCTATCAAACGACTTAAAACAAATCTATGTACGCAGAAAGAGACAGTGGTGAATCTTTCACTGCCCTGGTGATAACGAAATATACATCCTTTATGAGTCACCCTTTTTGTTGTTTACAAAACTCTGCTCTCTCATCTAAACATGACTCACCCTACCTTGTTCTTTTCTCTTCTTTTCTTTCTTTTGGCTATTAGATAAAACATTTTCTTTAGTTACGTAATCTACGTTTTTGTTATGCTCTTTCTAGCTAATTATATTATGGGTAAATTTTGCTTTGATAAAGTCTCACAGTGTTATACAGTAATGTTTACTGATGACGTTTAGAGCACAATTTATTGCTCATAATCATATCAAGGTAATCATACGACTTCCTAAATTCATTTATATTGTTCCGCTGTTTTTCACTTGATTTGATTGGTAGTAATATTTTCCATATTTCGGGTATGAGTGATGAGTCATTCCTATTGCATGTGTTGGGTGTAGATTCGATGAACAAGGATTCAGTAGTCAACCTACCTAGATTACTTTTTAGAATTTTAACCCTCTCCCACCCTATTGTGCGGTTGTGTGTTTTAATGCATGCAGTGCAATTGCTGAACTTTTTTCTAAATTACTCATCTTCTCGTGATCAACCATTCTTACCTTAGCTGAATTCTTATGTTCTGACAATCTGACTACCCCCGATCTACCAGTTTGACTGGCCTATGTAGTTGACCTGACTCACAGTCATTGCACGGTCTTTTGTAAATTATATTATTTTGTCCAAGTGAGTCAACAGGGGATTTTTAACCTACAGAGCTTGTCCCTGAGTGAGTTTGTAGGTTTAAATGCCACTCTAATTCCTGCTTTATTCAAAACCCTACGTAGGGTCTCAGATATCCCCTTTTTATATGGTAAAACTACTGTAGATGACTTATATTCTCTCTTATTTATGTTATTATTACTAGTTTCACAATTCTTTTTCTTTTGGCCTTTTTCAATCTCTCTAATGAATTTTAAAGGATAGTTATTTAACACCAACGCCTCTTCTATCTGTTTTATTTCATCATTTAGGTCTTTTTGTGTTTCTATACACACACACATATACGCAACTCTGTTTTTGTTTCCAAGTCTAATTGTCTAATTATTCTATAACTAGTCAGTGTTTGTAACTCTTAATTAGTTAAATCATTCCGGACTAATGTTACTTTTACTTCCTACCAATTACTCCTTGTGATCGTGGAAAAGTTGTAACCAGTTGAGAAGAATCCTCGAAATAATAAAAGATGAGCTCATATTATCCTGGTACAATTGTTGTTCTTGCTTTGTTCAAGTTTATCAATGGGAAGAATTGCATGAAATCATGAAATAGTTATAGCATCAAGTTTAAAGCCGTAACTCATTAGTTTATGTGCTTAATATTTGATCAGTGGAATATAAACTGGAACTTTCCTCAGTTTACTTAAGTCTAAATAACCTGGTAGCAGTAGTAGGAGTGTGATGACAGCTGGCTGCAAGCCAAAATTGTAGACGACAATTTACGTCAATCTTCACGTCCCGAATCAGGGTCATGAGAAAAACATTAGCAAAGCTTAACTTTGAAAAAATCACCAACCAATCACAACGGAGTTAACGTGTGCAAATATGGATCGCAGATATAGGGCTTAACTGTCTCAGAAACGGTCACAAGAAATACAGAGTAACCTTCAGCCAATCAGAAGATGTTGCTTCACCGCTGACAATAATATACATAAAAATCTATAAATGCCTCTTGATTTTCTCAACAAACGATCTGTTGCCTTGCCCTTGTCTTCTGTCGTTACAGTAGTAGTGGTAGTACAGTAGGTTTTCTCATGTCGCCTAGATAGTGGATCTGTGTACAGTGCACAATTCACAATGTGTCAGTGGTAAAAAGAACTCGTTAACCACGCATGTGGTGAGGGTTTCGACCCAGACCTAAGCACTCCTAAACCTTGCTCAGCCGGTAGCAAACCTGCTAAAGATGAGAGGTTGGGCGTGAGGCTAGCAACCCCACCTCGTAAAAAAATAAACACCAGTACTATACAAAACTTCAAAGCTGAAGCTTGAAGCCCTATGTTCCACCTAGACTGTAAGGGAATAAAAAATAACACAATTCTTAGCGTATCTCACTGTAAAATATTTACTTCTTGCACAATGGTAGACTGAAAACTGCTTCAAAGTATGTGTGAGTACAAAGCACAGCTTACAAGAATAATCTGAGATTGACACAACATGAAATGAAACTGACTTAATTTAATATATTGAGTGAAACATCTAATAACCCACTGACAACTCACACAGACCACCAAATATAGTAATAAAATACCTAATCTATTCACCAAGTGTTGATTTGCAGAGATTAAATTAGTTACAGGCTTGGTCACGAGCTAACATCGGCCACAGAACCATTGGAAAACCAGGAAGTCCTGGACAGTTGTTTCGTCCTAGTTTGGGACTTTTCATCAGTCAGCTAGTGATCAGGTATGTAACCAATCAAGTCGCCACAAACTTATACTCGGAAATTAATCTGATGCTCACTAGCGAATTGCTCTCTATACAGGAAGTTACCTGGAGTCCTACTGAGAAGTCGTGACCAGCAGAGTCCACCAAGTCTGGCAAGAGAACAGTTGCTCGCTTATGACACTGACTGCACTATGTATATAGCGAATTGGCAGAAGTTGGGATTTATGAACCGGATCCCGGTGGCAGAATGGTCCATGAGCTGACCTTGTGTAACCAGGAGGTCCTGGGTTCGAGCCCCGGTGGGTGCGTACTGTTGCAGAATACCAAACTACGACGAGATATATTTCCGGTACTCACTGGTTTTCCAATGGTTCTCTGACTGATATCAGCTCGTGATCAAACCTGTAGCATAATCTATTCACCAAAAGATGAGGTCTGAAGTTTTGCTGGTGGAACCAGTCTACTTCAATGGAACTGAAGTAAAAATAAACTGTCATACTACCATAAAAGATCTCTGTTATTTCAATCACGAAGATTGAGAATAGGAAAAATAACTGTTTGTTTTTTTCAATAAACAGAATAATTCCTATGAGTATCTTGGTATGAAAATTTACATTCATACTCCTTTATGCAGTTAGACAGATATATAGTTCTATGATTGAGTTTCCTATTTAGGTCAACTGAAAATCGGAAATGTTAAATTTGAGATTATTGAAAAAAAAAGAATAAAATATATGCTTTTGACCTAACAATGATGACAATTAGTTCAATACGTTTGTGATGAGCCGAAATCAGGCAGAAAGAATATTAAAAAACAACACATGAAATTGAAGGTTATACTGTTCTGCTTTAAGAATTCGCTGTCCTATGAACCCACAATACTATGTATGAGATGCTGAATCTTTGACAATCAACTTTCGAGACAAATAAATTACCGAAACCGTATGTTCCATGATTTGCTACTTGAACTGAACCGGATGACCATTGCACTGTCACAAACTAGTAGAGGTTAGAAATAATGAGTTATTGGAATCTAGGCAACTCTATGACCTCATGATGACGTGTTCACCATGTAACTTTCGTCTCTCGCGGAGTCATGGGTGTGCAATGCTGGGGATATGGGGAGATAATCATAGTGTATCCCAAGAAATGTTTACTATGAGTAGTTTAGAAGAGAAGGAACGAGTGGAATTCAACGGGTGGAAGTTGAAGTTACCCAATAAGTGTGAAGATTTTCTAATTTAGGTCTACGAAAAAAACATGGAAGTAATAAAATGAGTGACAAGGTATTTTGTTTTACTAACATTAGTATGAAAAAAATAAATGAATACATTCCTGGGCAGTTAATGTCTCCTAGTTTGGGACTCCAGAGGCACTGAAATAAGATTCAATGGTCTGTGAATTTTAAATAATGTCAATTCAGCATCTAACGCAACTGACATCTGGTATCATCTTTCAGTAATTTGTGCACCCTGAAGTTGGTAGAATGGACCAAGCATGAATTCCCTTATACCTTTAAGAAACTGATCTCCATGTTATTTTTATGTATTCAATCCTTAAAAGTCTGCTTCAGCATGTAAGCTACAGGCTAAAACCCTAAAATATCTTACGAGAATAAAGTTGGTAATAATTATTCACGTCATTTAAATTTAATATCTTAAATATTTAAACAATTCAGCAAGAATTTCTCACTCATAAACAATGCTTAGCTTTTAAAACTCAATTATTTTGTGTGCCAGTCTAAGAACCCCACTCATTATGTGATGGTTGATGATATTAGCCAGTTGCTCGGGTAGGACTCGAAGCCTACATCCACTGGATGAAAACCGATTGCTTATTCCAAGGAGTTACGTCTTCATAAGAGTTGATTAAAGAGTGAAACATTTTCCACTTCACTTTCGAAGGATTTATCAGGATAGTGTAAGAAAAGAACTCATCCACTAGCAGACGGGGAAATGAGTAAAACACAGTATTATTAAATGATGTATTTTTGAGCACAATCAACTCGTTAGGATTATATAAATGTAACCACACAGCTTTTCACTGAGTTTATATACTGTTTGCATCATATGCGATGGAATATTTTTATATATCCTAGGATTCCTGTTTCAACTATTAGATACTGGTCTGATGCACAAAGATTCAGTCAGTGATCAACTACTGTCTTCTCACCTAATTTTTTCATAGCTATTTATAATTCTCTGCCAATAGATGTGCTTAAAAACAGATGAATTTCTTATCTTGACGAGGTCCTGTACGCTGATACCCTAAGTAACACCACCGGACTTCTATTACCCAAGTAATTAAAATCACAATATTATGACATGATAATTGATAAATTAAACAACTCTGTTGACAAAAATGTTAAGGTCACAGAAAAGGCTTCCATATGCTTGAAGGTCAGCATTCCCATCACTAAGGGACGTTTGTATAATTTATGATGCGTCCTTTTTTAATTATATTGCAGTGAGATATTAAATTATTATTTCTTTTTTCCAAGAGTTAGTTTTTAGGGATTTGATTTGTTGCAAGTTTGACCACGGATTGATACCAGTTGGAGAACCATTGAAAACCAGAAGGGTGAACTGGACAGTTGTTTAGTCCTAGTTTGGGACTGTTCGGCAGTGTACACTTACCACCAAGATCCGAACCCAAGACCTTCCTGTTACAAGGCCAGCTCGTAGACCATTCAGCCACCGCGGCCTGTTTCAATGGCCGATGAATCCCAACTTCTACGAATTCGTAATTTTAGCGCGACCACCAGAGAGTAGTTATCCCCACGCCCGACCTGATGGACCCCACTGGTCACGAGTTCTCACTAGAACTCCAGGTCTGCGAGTGCTCTTTGTAACCTGAAGGTCTTGTGATGGAACTCCAATGGGTGCATACCGATGAAGGGTCCCAAACTAGGACGAAACAGCTGTCCGGTAGTCCCTGGTTTTTAATGGTTCTCTAACTGATATTGATCCACGATCAAACCTGAAATTTCTTTTTTTCTTATTATTTAATGAATCTGAATGATTTCTGGCAGATAACCAACTAAATGGAAATATTTTTGGCCTTGTTAAGTTCCCTGAGTTGGATGTGAATCCCCCACTGAAATTAGCGCCGAAAATGTTGTCTAGAAAGACAGTGAAAGCTTCTCAGTTAAACTATCCAACTCAGCGAATACAACATTACAACCAAAAACATCAACCTGAGCTAAAAAATATTCTTCACTATTTTGACATGGAAATATCAGTCTTATTTTACTTTATTTCTTTATTAAAATATTAGAAAATGTTAGTTAGACTCTGGATTTTATTTTACATTATCATATTGGATGCCAGTAAAATGGGTTGAATTAAGAAAGACACAGACAAACTTACTTGTAATAGGACTACCGTTACACTGAGGTATACACCATATAATTAAAGCTGAATTATAATTTATTTCACGAACACATAAGCCATGAGGTTGATCAGGTGGAGCAGATGGTGTCCAACACTTAGCTATTGAACTCCATGGTCCAGCACCAGCAGAATTCACAGCACAGAAACGGAATGCAAACAATGTAGCTGGTTGTAGATCTGTCAGTTCAAATGACAACTTTGAACCAGCATATATCTATACAGAATGGGTAGAAAATGTTTTTGAAAGGATAACCAAATATCTCAATGACGTTTAATAAAATGTTAACATTTAAAGGTATTAGTCACCAATGTAGAAACTTTTTAGGATCCAAAGATTTTCATTTGTGTCTGTGTTTCATTAAACCTATCATGAAAAGTTAATCAATAATTTTACTGACACATGTGTACTCATATGCTTATTCCTGGCCAGATTTTGTCACGAATCAACATCGGTTGGACGAAAACTGAGAAGCAAGAAAGATTCTTGTTTTGGGACTCTTCAGTAATATGCATCTATGACGCCACCAGGAATCGAAACCACGAATATCAGGTAGTGAAAAGAGGACATTTCCACTGAGTCAACTTCTCAGTGAATATAAAAAAATGAAGCATAAGATACTTGACAGGGCGAAGAGGAAGGTATTTACTTGAACATAACTAGATTATTTCATTATATTCTATTTAAATATCCATTTTCAGTAACTTCACTTCCTTGAAATGCTGATATTCAAGTAGGTGAACTAGTTCTTCAGAATTACTTTCTATTTCGATGATGTGATCAGGTGTGAACGAAGGCAAAAATGAAAAGAATATGGAGAGTCATCTTAGTATGCTGGATGAAATGCTGAATTTCACCGTAACTCTTATGATAAATCATACACCAAGTTGATCTTCAACTGGTCAGTGAACGTATACTATTGAGAATACCTACTCTAATAAGACGAGACATTTATTTGGTTAGCTTTTGAATCTCAGTAGCTGATAACCATATCATATCGATGTGTGTCACGCAGTGGACGGATTTTAGTATATTTAGAAGATGAGAACTTTCGTTGCAGTAGCACTTGAGGCAGATTCCAGATTCATATTCAATCTCACTTCAGTTATACATCGAACAGTTTACCCATTAATTATCTGGTCTGGAAAGGTTTATCGCGTCATTGTAACGTATATTAATAAAAAAACTGATTACACTTCTCAAATTTGCCACTCAAGTAATAATAATAAGCACTAATATATAAGAAAATGTACTACCTAAAAGTGTAAGGTCGAACACAGGGATACCTGGTAACAGAATTAGTTCATTGGGCTTACGTCGAGACTCCAATTGGCACAAAGTATTCGTGTTCTACTTCTGTTGAAATTCATTTCATGTTTTCTATATTACTTTACAATTTACTTGATTTCTCTTGCTTACAACTTAATCAGTCTCTCTCTCGACTAATCAAAACTCTTGCAGAAGTCATGGAATATACTACTTACAACTTCTTGCAACAAGCGTATGCAACACAAGTTATAACGCAGTTCCCTGGATAACGGACTATCAACCATAGAACTCATTGTCAAGTGTGCGACGAATCAACTGATTTTCAAAGGGGTTTCATCGAGAAAGAAAAACATCTACATGTTAGATGACTACACTGAAAAAGGACCTAATGCCTTCATATTCATTAGGCCTGTCGCTAGGAATATCATAAAACAGATCCTGGCATAACAGATCCCTGAGCATGTGCGTACATAAATTTTGTAGGGTGTATTCCAGAAATATAAGTAAGAGGAACAAAGAAAAGGAGAAAACGCATTCTTTCTCTTACCAATTGAAAGAATGAATCATCATCTGCCGGTTCCATTGTATCATTCCTTGATGAATTATCATGAGAAGATGACGAAGAAGAAGAAGAAGAATGATTCAGTATCCCTTTCTTTTCAGCTGCAACGCTTGGTATGTAAGCGACATTATAATAATCATGTGCTTTAGATATTTGATACTGACGACATTCCAGTCGATATTCATATATTTTAGCACCATTAATACAGGTAACTGGATCCCATGCAATATGTATCGTACGTGAGGATTTTGGTAATAGTCTTGGAGGAGATGCTGGTACACCTGGTAGACTTGGTGGAGTTGATATAGAAACCCATTCAGTCCAGAGACCTTTGCCAGCACGATTATATGCTCTAACACGAAAGGCATAATTCTGTCCTGGAATTAAACCAAACAATCGACATTCATTTTCACGTACAGAGCATACAAATCGACCATGAACACCAACAGCTGTTGTCTCATCATTAAATAATGATTGTAATTTCACTGGATTATCATTATTCAATGTATAAGACTTCGTATTCAATGAAGAATCTGTATACGATCTGTGTAGAATAGGCTGACGATGGCTTGAATGACAGTGACTTGTATATTTATTGTAAGTAGAGTAATATTGTAGATTATGACAGGATAAAGGTAATAGTGAAGTTTCTATTGACGATGATGGCGTAGATGAACAATATCTTGGTATTGATATATTTGAATCATTATCTTCTGATTCTTCATCAACCCAACTTGTTGGCTCCAGAATCAATTGCCAAACCTAAGAAATAAAAATCAATAACGAAGTTCGTGAAAGTCAGTATATCTGATGAAGGCTGGCATTAGTTTTAAAAGAAAAGGTTACTGTACCCCAAAAATAATAATATATTATCACAGAAGGTTCTGGTTCCGAACCCCGGTGGGTGTATACTTCTGAAGAGTCCCAAACTAGGACGAAACAGATGTCCAGTAATCCCAGGTTTCCAATGGTTTTCTAACTGATGTCAACTCATGATGAAATCCTCCAACCATTCAAACAAAAACCAATACTTGATTATCACACTCAGTTTACTGATGCAAATTTAATGTATTCATAAGGCTGTTAAAATCACTTCACATGTCAAAGATGATATTCATACTACTGACTAGTGTCTCTGGATGGAAGTAGGTAATGATCCTTAGTCATACAATGATTTATTGACTCGTTTTTTAAGAAAACCAGTCAGTCAGCCGTCGCATTTCTACCCTGTCAACTAAGTTCACGTAGTCTGGCGGTGGGGTGGGTGACATTAACTGCTGGTTAAATGATGGTTACTGGTGGTAAAACTCTGAACCTGGGCTTCGTGTTTACCAGTACTTATAAGAAAAGCATATCTGGAACCTCAAAGAAAATACAGTGAAACAGTATTCCCTTTGAAGTTTCAGATGGCCTTGAAGCAATAATAAATCTCAACTTTTCTTTTTCATACCTGAAACTAATTTTAACTGTCTGACATTCAGAAGCATTGATTTAGGACTGAAAAAGAATACTGGTTAATTTTAGATAGGAAAAGTATTCATTTGAGAACAGTCTAATTGGGAAACAAATGGCGTAAGACTGTTAGGTCATTTGCATAATTAACGAAATTAATCTCAACAGAATAAGTTAAGTCAAGCAAAAAGGCAATTACCACGGTAGACACAATCGACAAGGCAAATCAACCTTTCCTCTCTCTCTCTCTCCATATATATATATATATATATATATATATATATATGTATATATATACATATATATATGTATCCATAAGTGTATGATTTTTAACGAAAGAGGTCGAATTCGTCTTTTTCTAAATTAAGAAACAATGTCATATGGGAAATAGTGAAAACCGGAACTTCTAACTCCTTAAAACTGTTTAAAAATAAAAAGAACAAATATATGCATAAAGGTGATAACAACAAGAACAGGGAATTTAAAACACGCAGTTCCTGGACATCCACATTCATTAATACTCTACATTTTTTGATCAGTTTAAGATATTGGCTTCCAAACGGTGCACTAGATGACAGCTGTTTATTCCTTGTTTAGGATATCTATATACACTTCACATACACAACTCTCCAGAAGTTCCAACTGACGACCAATATGTTCCAAGGGTTAGGTGTATAGTATTTTCAAGCTTGATCACGGATTGATTCCACTGGAAAAGGGGAAGAACTGGACATCTGTTTCGTCCTATTTTGGGTCTCTTCATCAGTACGCACTCACGATCCCATCAGGGGTCGAACCTAGGACCTTCAGGTTACGAAGCCAAGCTGGTAGACCGTTCAGTTATTTGGCTTGAAATACAGTAGCCTGTGAATTCTAACTTCTGTCGATTTGCGAATTAAGCGCGACTGTCAGTCGGTTTGTCCTCACATACGACCAAGTAGACCCCGCGGGTGTGACATTTCTAATTCAGCCACTTGTGAAAAGATAATCGATTTCCTAATAACCATCGTCAGCATAGATTCATACGAATGAAGAGTCTTCAATCAAGGCGAAATAGATTTCCACCACTCTGCTTTTTACCAAATCAATCAAATTTCCATAATCTCAAAACGAAAATATTTGTTTAATTCGTAATTTGGAAATATTTTAAATCAAAGAAAATAAAATAACTGGCCATTATTGGTTAAGAATGCATATTAGCCCTTTCTCTTCTCCCCATCTCTTTCTCTCTCAGTATTGCAATAAATGCATAGACATGTAATGCTGGTATGGTTAAACATCCTCTATATATATGTGTGTGTGTTGTGTCCTGCCTACACCAATATCTACTTGTCATACCTAAAAGAATCTTTCTCTCGGTTTCATGGATAGGGAAACAAAGAAAATGCAAAAAATAAGAAAAAGGACATCGACAAAAACAGCAACAGCTAAAGTAACCACCGCCACCAACACAGTAGGTAAATACACCCACTCATGAATTATAGTAGACAGTTTCTAAACATAGATTATACATAAAACTGTTGAAAAACTGTTTATAAATTGAACTTAATAGAGTGATAATTTTGTTACAATCTACAATGCTCATAAGTGATCAACGTCTGTGTATGTGTATGCGTAAAACTTTACTGTAAAATTCGTTGAAACAATAAAAATTATTTCTAATTTCTGTCCACATAGTTGATGCTGGAAATACAGACATCAAATACACCACCACCCCCTACACACACACACACACATAAGATTCATTGTCTTCATAATTCCTTCCTCCCACTCTCTTTTATTGAAAACACTTAAATATTGATAACAGAAGTAATCAGACAACAGTATTACAGTTACCTCCATTTCATGAAATTATTTGATAAAATACACAGAGATAATATACTATCAATAACTTGATGACGTTTTAGGAACAATTTACTGTTCCCAAGCATTTTCTGTGTCCAAACGACTTCTCAGGTAGCTTATATAGTCTTTAATCCCTGTCATTGTTGATTGTAGTTTTTCATACATCAGAGACACATGTTGCAATATTTCGATTGCATGTGTTTGTTTTTTATTCGATGAACATAGATTCGGTGGTTAACTTCTCTCTCTTCACCTAAATATATCACATTTTAATACTTTTACCCTATCACACACCATTGTGTGATTGCATGCAAGTGAATTACTTGCAATGGGTGAGCTTTTTTGAGATTGCTTGATTTGTTAGGGTTAATCATTCTCGATCTGGCTAAATTCTAATATTCTGATAACCTAACTGACTCTGACCTACTACTCCGATCTATGTGATTGACCTTACAGTAGTCATTACACAGTATTCGGTAAATTAGATTACATTTAGCTTAATTGGGTCTACCGGACCCTTAAGTTAACAAAAGTTTATCTCTGTTAGTTGGTTAATTTAAATATTCCGCTGATTCCAGGCCTATTAATAATAATTTTACATTGAAACTATGAATTCATTTAAACCCTCTTTAGACTTTACTCAATTGAGTATAAAATTACATAAAAAATAAATAATCAACCAAAAAAGTTGTTTTTGAATGGAGTAATAACAGAGATAATAATAATAATAATAATAATGACGCGAACATTTTAACAGTTGAATTCGGTACGATAAGCTTATAGTATTGTAACAACAGAAGGCAGGACACGGGAGCCAAGGTATATTTTTCACTAATCAAACCGCTGTTTATATATCTACAGTTTATATTCGTTAACTAATCACTGAGTTTGTAATTTCCGTTTACATCAAACGACATGAAATAGAATGTTCAAATATACATAATATTCTTTTGTTAATGCACTATATAACCGTGGGAAATGTATTCTGTATGTAACATCAAACAGAATGTTCAAATAGATATATGGCAATCTGTTGCTAATGCCGAATTGAAGTGTGGGAATATGTGAGAATAATATTCTGTTGGTACACATTGTCTGTATCACACCACTACAGTATAAAACAGATGACTATATAGTTAATCTCAGACTAGGAAGGAAAATTTGTCCAAAGTTCTTTGGTTTTAAATAACTCTCTGTATGCCCTAAATTTGCGTCGGTGGCTTAGTGGTAGAATGCTCGCCAGCCACACATGTGGTCCGGGTTCTATTTCCGGTTGACGCACTCCTTCACCCCTCTACGCCAGTAATAAGACCAGTAAAGAGGGAAGGTTGGGTATGCGGCTAGCAACCCCACCCCGTAGAAATAAACACAGCTGCTAACGAAACTTCGAAGCTCTAGCTTCAAGCTAGAGCACTATGTTCCACTGGGAAAATAAAGGAATAAAATTAATATACAAATGGCTTCAATCTACGATAAAAATTGCTTAAAATCAACCAAAACTCCAATCAATGGCTGGATTAAGGATGACCGGTCTTTTATCCTAAATGAAAGGAATATGGATTGCTCATCTTATCATACTCCTAATTGCATAACTATATGTCTTTGATATAATCCATAGTGGATTGAAAGGGAAAGATATCTTTGCCTTGATCTACTGATTTTAATATAATGAGATACTGATTACTATATGTTAAGTACGAAGAAGGCTCTATTCCCATTTAGATACCAGAAAAGAAAATTAGTTTGAAGCGCTCTGTTATTTGAGCTACAGTAATTCAACATTTAAGCACATCTTTGTATGAAATATTTTTTTAGAAACATGTTAACATGAAAGAAAAAAGACTATATATTTCGCCATTTTACATGGTGACTTGGTCTTACCTCATAAGCTAAAATCGCTGCACCTCCAGTCTGTTTCGGTGGTGACCAAGATAAATGCAGCGAAGTTGGTTTCGGTTTGCCAATTACGCGTGGACCAGAAGATGGTGCTGATGGTGGGATAGGTGGCATACGTATTTTTAATGGAGGATGACTTGCTAAGCCCCACAATTCACCATTTCTACCATTGCTTCCGATGCCAACATTACTATTAACATTTGTACTGGTGGTAACCGCAGTGACAGCAGTACTATTGACACCGAAAGAAATATCATTCGGATAATTGTGTAAATTAGACACAGATGCTGCCCCTGACGATACAGACGATGACGACGAAGATGATGATGATGCAGATGATGCAGGCGAGGATGAAAATGCTGAACACGATGGATTCATTTTATTTGTCAGCAAGGAACAACATGCACGTACACGTAATTGTAAAAAGAATCCAGGTAGTAGATTTTCTAGTAATAATTCTTTCTCACGGCCTTCATAGATAATAAACCATGCAGTTTGAGGATAATTTGATTCTCCATCATAATCAGTATTAAACATTGTAGAGGTAGATATATTGGTACTCACAGTTGTAGAAGTAGTAGTTGTAATAACAGCAGTTTTATTAGTCTTGTTATTTTCTGTTACTTTGATGCCATCATTAACATTGGAATCCGTTTCAGAAACACGTGAATAACTCTTTTTATCCTCATTCACTATTGTATATGTTTTAAGATTGTCACAGCTGTTAACAATATAAGTTTCATCTCTACTAGTTGTAATCATATTAGGTGAACATGATGAATTGATTGGTGATAGAATAGATGAATCAGGCTTCAAAACTAGAAATTTTATGTTGGAGAAATATTTGAAATGTAATGTAATAATAATGATAATAATAATAATTCATATAGCATTAAATATTTGTAAGAGAAGATAGACAACAAAAACGTATAGGCAGAAAGTTAAAAGTTATAATTAAATTGCGTGAGTTACGAACACTAAGTGGGTGGAACAGCGGTTAGGACGCTCGCCGACCATGCACATTATCCGGGATTCGACCCCCTGCCGACGCACACCTGATATCAATGGTTGGCCAGCAAAATTTGGGTTACCGATATCACATGCTGAAAATTCCATACTTGTACCAAAAATAAGGTGTGGAATCAAGCTATCATAAAAAATTTTATGACAGCTACCTGTTTCCCCAGCCAGCATTACTTAAGCGAGAACACACAAATACGTGAACCCTAAAGTCTATTCTAGGCAATAAAGTATGATATATATCACCAGGGGCATGTCAATTAGTTTATAATCACGATCGATAAAATAGTGGGCATTATTTCACAGAGGCCAATTCTGATTGGTTTGTTTCCAGACTGGACATCGATCACTTGTGTGGGCCAACTCTGATTGGTTAATTCTTACACTGGACATTGATCACAATATCACCAATAAAAGATAATCCATTGCTTATTTGTCTACATATCAGTAATACAGTTTGACTATTCACAGTCGATTTCTCGTACATGTGGTGCACTGCCAATATGCCAATAATAACTTTAATTCAATTTTAAATTTATTCTTTTGAGTTCCGAGTAAAAAAAGTGGCTTCAGGTTTGAACTTTGGAGTTTCAGTAGCAATAGTAGTTTTTTACGGAATGCCGTTACCAGACTTACGCCCAGCCTTCCCTCTCTACCGATCTTACTACTAGCGTCGGCCGGGGATCAAACTCCGAACCACGCGTTTGGTGTGGTTGGCGAGCCTTCTATCACTGAACGACTGATGCACCAATAATTAACAAACCTATGTTAAAAAAGAGGAAATTTTTTTTGCGGAATAACATTATCAATCAATAGAATGCACAACTTCACACTGTTTTTTTTTTTAAAAACACGAAGTGATGAACAGTCTTTACGTTTTCTAATGTGTTCAGATATATAGTTTAACTTTAGTGAATCGAAGTAATTTACATTTGTAACTCAATAATTAACTCTTTTAGTTACAAGAGGTCTATTAACCAACTTAGATACTGTTTTTTTTTTCAACTCCTGATATTGATCGACAGAAGAGGTAGGAGCTCATAGTATGAAATTTGTAGATCGAATGTATTACTTTATGAATTCGATGAATTAACACTTGTTCACTGGTGGTTACTGCCGAAGAACAAGATGTTTTTCTTCTTCAATTCGGGGTGTGGACATATCCACATGATAGTGTCATATACTCGAATCATGAACATGTTATTATTTTTTTATCATAGAGGATATAAAAAATAGAGACCGAGGTGTGCGGACGCACCAGTGACCCTGAACGCACACCATTCGTTGGATTACAGAATTCTACATCAAGAAGCCGTTCATTCACGAGAAAAAATTAACTTAATTATAATAAAACACATTAAAGACTATATTTTACCCTAAAGAAACTCAAAAATACTTCCTAATTACAATGAAGGCTATGAGTTTTCATGTTTCATAGCAATCAAAACGGTTTCATCCATTTGAACAACGAAATACTCTTCTACCACATTCTTACTTACAAGAAAAATACATACAGTAATAAAACACTAACCCTAACGTGTTATCAACCCATTGACCTAACAGTACTTAGAACGAAATTAAGATGAAATTCGTATAGAAATTTCTTGCACACTGTTCATACTGGAGCTGTAATAACGGCGGGTAGTATAATCCAACGAATAGGATACGTTCGGGGTCATTGGTAGATTGACTCCCCGTGTTCACTATTCTTAGTGTTATTATTATTATTATTAAAACAATTAGTCCCTTTGATAAATTTGAATAAGGCATTTAGAAGACAAATTTCGCGAGATGATCCCTGTACCTACGATTAAAGGACGAAATTCTGTGAACTCTACTTCAAACTGTATCTACAAGTTCACCTGCAGCTGCGGTGACACCTATATAGGTAGAACCAACAGAATGTTCCAATGTCGTGGTCGAAGAGAACATGTTCCAAAATGGCTACTAAATCACAATGCGAGTAATCTGAATAGAAATCCAATATCATCCATTGCAAAACACTTATTAATGTCAGGTCACAAAATCAATATTAATGACTGTTTCACAATTATTTCACATAACTCTAATTCAAGGTTATTGAAGGTGATGGAAGCCCTTTGGATTAATCACATACACTATAACCTTGATATGATTATGAGCAATTAATTGTGCTCGAAACGTCATCAGTAAACATTACTGTATAACACTGTGAGACTTTATCAAAACAAAATTTACCTATAATGGAATTACATCTCACATGCACAGTTTTTATACACATACAGCCTAAACTGTGTGTACAAAAATCAATAGACTTCAATCTTCGCCTACCATGGACTACATGACCTATCTAAATATGATTGGTCATCAGTATGTACTTTTGCTTTTTATTTAACTGAGTAATTGTCATGATCTTTATTTTATTATTGTTAACCATGTTAGTTGTAAAGCAGTTGTAAAGAAACTACGAAATGAAGACATCATCTGACGAAATTTGTCTTCTAGACGCCTTATTCAAATATTATTATTATTTTGTTAAACTTCTTGTCCCTACATTAAGATAATGAGACAGTAGCGGCAAGAAAGGAGGGACAATGTTATTCAGTGAAAAATCTAAAAAAATTACTCAGTTTCAAGAATTTCTTTACAGATGGAAAACATATTCATTAACTGAAAATTCTACTAAATGAAGGAAAAGTAGACGGAAGAAAATAAAAACGAAGTCCAGTAATTCGAATAATGGACTACTATTTCATTCTAGCTAGACCTGAAATATGAAAGTATTCATTATTAGACGTTTAAAGAATTGTTAGTCGGTAGAAACTTGTATTTGACCTAAATTTAATCCTTTTCAGTATTAATAATTAGTAGGAAAAGTAATTACTTTAAAACAAACAACAGTAGATAGAATTGCCAACGTTTCAGTAGATACTACACTATTATTTGGTTGAAGGCTGTCTGTAAAAAGACGCTGACCTAGGTATCGTGCTTGTTGGTAAGGCGTATCTGTAGGCTCAAGAGAAATGATGTCCTCTCGGAGATTTGAAACTGCCTGAATCAGTGCTACCCGTTACCCAGGTGATGTATCTGAACTGAATTGATCTGCGTCATTTCAACATATGCGCTCAGTGACCGCAAGCCTACATTTCTATTGTGAGAACACTGGGGTTGTAGGTATATCCACCAAATAGGATGATGAAACCTGCATCGGGTTAGCCACGACAGCAGAAAAAGTAACAAAAAATTTGATATTTGAATCCACGTCACACACACAAACGCTTACAGTTTTACGGCTGTTGAATGACTCTTCACTTATTGTATATATATCTAATCAAGTTAAATTCACCAAAGATGGTTTCACCCTCTGTCTTTATTTGTCTGGAGAAAAACACATTACGCATTCTTTACATTTTGATAAATAAACACAGTGTTGACTTGATTAGTCAGCTGGTTAAAATGTTGGACACTTTGTATACACATACATACAAATCCACACTTCACACTCTAAACACACACACACACACATACACATGAATTAGTTTATCACTTGATGGTGTCTTTATTTGTTTCTTTCACATTAGACAGATGCTTGTCGGGACAGGCAAGCACAAATACATGCGCATTACGTGTATATTTCAAGAAGATGCATTCTTAACTTAATGACTCTTCAATTTATTTGTTTAATGAATGCAAAATATCACCATAATTACCAGAATCCATCAATGTGGAAGTTGAACAAAAACCGATAATAATAAACAAGTTGGTACAGTTGGCATAAATTTATGCCAAATATATATATATATATATATATATATATATATATATATATATATATGAGTTTAGTCAATGTAGCACTAATGAATTAACCTTAGAAAGAAATGAAGTAAAGCGAGGGGAGTAACATCATATAAAAAGAAAGTAGTGACAAGACAAGTAAACAAAGAAGGACAGAAAGCAGTTAGAAATTGGCACTAGACAAATCAATATAAACAAAATATTCTCATCAACATCTAAAACAATAACAACAACAACAATAACAAGAACGAGTGTTCTTAAGTGAAGAAGATAACATAAATACAAAAGAAACTACTGGATGCTTTAGACTTTAACACAACATCATGTTCTCATTGTGATAATATTCTGTTGAATTAGACTTGATGATGCTTATTAGTTGATCTAACTCTCAAGGCGGAGTATAGCAAAACGATGGATACCGGGTTCATGTCTCAGTGGGAAAATCATCAGTTCACAGAGGAGCAGGTAAATCTAGCAGAAGAGTCTCAGATAGGACGAAACACCCAATCTACATTGCACTACTCGCCACCAGCGACCAACTAAGTAACATCGTGATTATGCTTTTTTTTCCTTCACGTTCCCCAGTGGAACATAGGGCTTCAACCTAGTGGCTTGAAGTTTCTGTAGCAGTGTTTATTTTACAGGAGGGGTTGCTAGCCTCATGCCTTTTTTTTTAAACATGCCAGCCTATAACTTCTGATTATGTGATTTTCAGTGTGAAGTGTCAGTTGTCTGGAAATTGTAAATATAATTCAGTCTTAAATAGGGCAAATTAAGGCCCACTTTGGAGTTAAATGATACAGATTCAAAAACATGCATAGAACATGATTTTTTGCAGCAGTGAAAGTATGTCTTCTTGACAAGTATCATTAAGCCTGAGTAGTGGATTGACGGTTTCATAACGACTGATCAGACTCGTAGAATGCTCACCAAAGGCGGAAGTGGTCCAAAGTTTTAGAGTGAAACTCGATGTCACACTAGGAACTCAAAGGAATAAACTTCTAAAGAATAGCCTCTGTTATCC